TGTGAAGCAGTTTGTCATGAACAAGTATTAAACAGGGAACATCTGTCATTTTGCCATGACATCCCACTTATAGCCGGCAGGAAGGTGGGTGGTAGAATGGTTTGGGCAAAGTCAAGTACTGTTTATCAGCGCAGGCAGAAATAATGTTGCCAGTTTTTATCAGTACACTTCGAAGGCACTTTGTTTAATTGTATCTGTAATTTGAATAAGTACAAGTCAGCAGCTGGAGAAATAATGCTTACCTAGCACTGTACATGAAACTGTAGAGCCATTCAAGCATTCAGAAAAAAAACAGGCTGTTACACGGATCTTTATGCTATTGATGGAAAAAATGGTTTTGCACACAAACACATACTGGCTCTCTCACATTACAGACTAATATAATTAGGTAAACCTAACCACAGAAATCCATAATCCTCCTATTAATAAAGTCATATGAAACAAAATCCTGTAATATAGTACATATTCTGCACTAAACAAATTGACAGCAGCAGCTGCTATGCATCATGGGTAATCCTGTCATAAAACAAATAGATCTGCTTTGGCCCTACCATAAAAATTAATCAATAATAATATCTGAGCTAATGAAAGAGCCACTTATAAAAATCAGTGTTACCCATCAGCTTTTATAAAACATGACTATTTTCAATGCATTAAACTGTATTACTAAGGACGGAAATCATTAAGCATCTTTCAGCTACCCCTTGTTGATAGTAATAAGAAAAGAATTGTTTCTGAAGCTGCTTCAATCTGCGAAATCTTTTAAAATCTAATTACTGGGATGAAGGAGGAATATTCAAATCACTCATAACCCTTCCTTTGCATATTATTGCTATTCTTTTCACAGGCACCAGGGAGTCTTTATAAACAGCAGAAACCAAGTCTTTGCTAAAAAAAAAAGTAGTGCCTTGCATGATGGATGGCAGTATTCACGCACATTCAGTTTTACATTCACTGCAGTTGGCTCAGATGATTTGCTAGTAAAAGAAAAGGGTAAGTCTAGCACTGTCAAGCCCATTGAGGAAGGATGACAGCAAGTAGTGCTCCACAGTTACCTCAGAATTATTAAAAAAAGAAAGTAGATGAGGAATTTTGAACAAAAAAGATTTTGGCTCCGTGACTCCCCCCCCTGGAAAGGGGATGAGCACAGAAAGCAGTAAGGGAGAAAGCATGCCTGAGTAAGGAGTTTAAAAAGGAAAAAGGACATGGATAGGGTAGTCAGCAAAGGGATTTGAAATGGTTTTTGCCTCTTTGAAACCTAAACAGATCCTTTTATGATAAGCCTGAGCTGAAGAGACAACGAATTAGTCCTTGCACCTGCAACTGCCACAGAAAATCTGCCAAATGCTGCAGATTTTCCTTTTCTCCTTTATTTCTAAAATCTGGCTCCCAGTAAATTCCTTCCCTCAAGGCACAGTAGATTATCCAGAAAGGCTGTGGAGAGTGGCTAGAGAGCTGTGATGTTCAGCCACAGCTTCAGGATTCAGAATGGCTGGAGGCTGGGCCAGGACTGAACCAAGAGGTACCTAGCCAAGCAAAGCTGACTCAGAGAGATGTGGGAAGCAATGTAATTCCACCTGAGACACAAGGATCCACAGCACTTCATGATCTACACTCTTCTGCAGCAAAGATATGCCAAGATCCTTACAATGATTGCTACATATATTTGTCCCCAATGTAGCCACAGGTAAACATGGCTGGAGAAGTTAGATGTGTCAAGAAAGTGTTCCCAGTGACAGAACAAAAGACATCACAGGTGAAATCTTCATCTTGCTGAGATCCCTGGGTTTTGTTGCTATCTTCACCAGACTCATACTTTCACAAGAAAATGTTCCCATTCCCACATTTTCTCTCAGGTATTTATACCTTCCATCTTAAAAGTTGCAGAACAACAGCAGAACCTAAACATCCTCTCTGAAAATTAATTTACATTAAATCACAAATTAATCTTATAGAAAAATAGGAGTGTCATTATCATTAGCGCCAAGGATCCTAGGAGCTTCCTTAAAGACAAAAGATATTAGGAAACATCATTTTTTCACTATGAACATTGAGACACTCAGAATGCATGTGCAACTTAAAGAAAAAAATAAGGATATTTTTCCCTGGGAGACTATTTTGGAAGTTTACAAGCTAAAAGGGCCAGTCAGGCATTTCTTACCAGGACTTATTACCACTGATGTGGACTCAGATGGAAGGCCTTAATGAGTAATCCCTGGCCCCAGCAAGATCTGATTTCTAAAGCAACTTGCTCTCAGGTAGAGGAGGATGGTTAGCAGCTATTCAGCTTCTTCTTTGGTCCCCCTCTTAAATTACCTCAAAAACACAATGCAGCTGTTCAAGATGGTTCAGAAATATCACTGCCCCTGAATTTTCTGATTTGCCTTGTTGAGACTAAGAAATTTCCTCTGTAAGGCAATTAATATTTAGATCCATCCCCTCTGAATTAAATTGTTATCACAGAAACTAACCTAACTACACCTAAGTAGGTCAAAGAATGATCTGGATTTCTTTTTTTATTAGTATTTCTAAGGAGCTATTATTTAAAAAAGCCAATATAACTATGGCTTTACAGCCCTCCCGATGGCATGAGGAATAACTGAAAAAGTATAATTTTTCCTGTAAAAGGGTATTTGCATAAATGAAGTACAATCTCCATTGATTTTAGCTATTTGTATACAACAGAAGGTTGCTTGAAACAAACTGGAATTAATTCTACTGTCATGAGGGAATGTGTCACCCTTTGGAAAACAAAAAATGAAGTGCATGGAGAACATTATTGTAGATAGCCTGGGTTTTGTAGGTTAGATCTCTGTAATGAAGAGAGAGATTACTCTGCAGGGAAGGCTTCTGAACTTTTCAGTGCTGGCAGGTGCACGACTTTCTCTTTTTTATTAAAATATCCAGAAATTTGTGAATCTTGTCCAATACTCAGGGGACCCTATTTCCAAAGTACCCAAACAACTATTCTAGTTCAAAATTCATGCATTTGCAGTCAAACTTTCCTCCTCATTGAGTGTGTTCTCTTCATCTTCCAATGTAGCAGCTTCAGTAATAGATTTTATATTAGCCTTATTTTGGTGGGGATTGTGAAGTTATAACTTTTGCTGTTACAATTCCAGGTAACAGTATAACACCACTATAAATTTTTTCTCATGCTATACATTAACAGCTAAAATTGTAACATAGGAATAGCAATACAAAAGGTACCACAAAGCAGCAAACAAACAAAATACTGTAGAGATATACTGAGTAACACTTGAGGAAATGTCCTTATTCTTATGCTCATGTCAAATAGGTGCCAAATCCTTAACTTATGTAAATCAACTGATAAAATTCTAATAATTAACCCTCACTGAAACTTCATGTCTAGACATACAGGCTGTAGGCATCTCTGAGGAAAGCCCACAGCAGGGTAGCTGCAGTACTCTTAGTTGCTCACAGTGCAGCTAACTCTAATCTATACTTCCCTTCAGTTAAACTGTTATGCTAGCAGACGTGCTCATTTCACACGTTTAAGAGAGAAGCAGGCCAGAAGCTGTTCAGAATTCAATGACCAGCACTCCCATAAATAAGTCCCATTCTCTACAAAATGAAGTCCTCAGGTATTTTCTGAGCCACTACTTATGCAGAGAAAACCAAGAACTGGAGCCTCAATCACTCCATGAATTCTTGACACTTTTCACTTACCTCATCACATCAGTGCCTTTCCCTCAGCAGTAAGTCCCTTCACCTATGTGCCATCCCTCTCTCCTCTTTATACTGAACATTGATGGGATTGAAGCATCATAAGAAGGAAATATTTTCGTTCAAATTCTCTCTCCAGGATCAAACATAAGTGTGAATCTGGGCAAGGAGGCTTGGAGTGACTGCTATTTGTGTTCTCCATATACACATGCAACTTATGGTCTCGCTGAAGGACAGGGTTTTGGTATTGTCTGACCCACAGAACCTACATATGAAAGTATGATAATACTGTATGCACATATGAAATTATCATTCTCTTTCTTGACAGACTGTGCTATACATAATTAATTATATTCACTGTAAGATTTTGTTTTAGACCAAATATTATGAACCTTTCTTATATGGGTCTGTAGAGCTCAAGCCAAAATACTGATGAAAGTACTGCAAAGCAATTAATGTAACACAATGGTTGAGACTATGGTTGGTCTACAATATATGAGGTGTTTTCTGTATTTTAAAGACCACAATCTCAGCTATTTTTATTCTTGATAGCTTCTAACTTGAACAACGTTTAAGACAAAGCGTAGACTTAAATATCTTGAAGACAATGGATTTTGTTCTACCAGATATTTTTCTGTTAGTATTTAACACAAAACTAACAGGGCAGGATCACTATGGTATTTCATATCATCAGTTTCATAGTGACAATCATCATCTCATTTCAAAACAACAAATCTCTAAGGAAGATCTTGGAGCAGCTGTTGGTGCTACCTACCAGGAAGACCACCTAATAGGAAGAGCAACACAAAACGCAGTCACCATTGCCAGTGGTGATACATGGCAAGCAAAGTTAATTCCTTCTGCAGAATATATAATAAGGTGCTGTGCAAGCATATTTGCTTCAATCCAAAGGTGGTATTTCTCTGCAAATTTCTAGACTGCTATTCTTTCCTAGAAAAGCAACACTGCTGGTCCCCACACCCTTAGTTTGAAATCTAGTATGATAAAATACAACTATGTAGGTACCTGAGTAATATGTGTAGGTATAGGCATACATATATATCTTTCCAACTTGTTCTGAAGCATCTGCATGGGTTTTTTTTGTATGCAATGAGACTGAGAGATCAATGTAGAACTGTTTCTGCAATTGTTTGAAGAACACACAGTATTTTAATACTACTTTGTTTGAATTGCCACTATTTACTCCGTTACACAAGAGAAAACATATGTTAAAATGTGCTATGAACCTTTGTATAAAGCCTTTAATATGAGCCTTCATTTGCATAAATTACGAATGCATTGAAAACACTTACCTGGAATCGATAAAAGGTGCCATCATCTTTTAGTGTTAGAACATGGTCTGAGATAGGAAAGAAATAACCATGTGCTGCCATCAGTGTTCCCAAATGTAGAGCTTCCACTGTTTGAAGAACAAAACAAAGATACATTAAAAAAAAAACACAACAAAACAAAACAAACCAAGCCCCTTCTTTTCATCAGTTTAGTTTTCTTGTTCAGATTCATCTTATCACCTGCAGATAACCACTTGACTCTCAGTCAAGGTCCTGACATCATGAAAGTGCTGTCCTTTTCTATGTAATATAAAGATGCAACTAAAAAATGCCCTTTACTCTCCTTCACAAATGGTTATTAGATTTCGCATGTGTAGTTGCAGATTCACTACTTATATCAGCATTAGCAGGTAGCAACAGCAATGTTCACTCACTTGTCCTGAAGCTGAAAACAGCTATCATTTTCACCTTGATGGTGCAGCCTGCTTTTCTTCCTCAGAACAGTTTCAGATTACATAATGTTAAAAGTGTTGATCACAATAACATGATATCTTCCTCATTAGCTTTACCGGAACTGCAGTAAAGGATAGACACTTCCATAAAAGTTTCTCATTACTGGGAAAATAACAAAGGATCACAGAATGGCTGAGTTTGGATATCATATGATCCAATCCCCATGCTCAAGCAGGGACACCTAGAACCAGGAACATAACTAGACATCATTTTACTTTCTCCTCTCTGGGCAAATTGTGCCAATGCTTAGTTACCCACACAGTAAAAAAGTGTTTCCTGATATTCAGAGGGAGCCTATAGCATTTCAGTTTGTGCCCATTGACCCTGGTCCTGTCACTGGGCACCACTGAAAAGAGCCTAGTTCCATCTTCTTTACACTGTCTCACCAGGTATCTATACACACAGATGCGCTTCCCCCCTAAGCCTTCTCTTTTCCAGACTTTTCCATAGGAAAGATGCTCCAGACCCTTAACTGACTTCATGGCCCTCTGTTGATCTCTCTCCAGTGCATGCACGTGTCTCTTGTAGTGAGGAGTCCAGAACTGGATACATAGAAGGTGAATTCAATTAAGTTTAATTAACAAAACCGTAATACATAAGAAGCAGGTTTATATATGCTTTTGTATTTTAAGTGAATCACTATCCAGTATCAGTCCTCAAAGTCTCTTACTCAGTATTGTCATTATTTAGCTGACAATAATACAATGCTGCAGGAAGAGAACAGCAGTAGAGTCATGCTCTTTCTGCAATATTTAAGTCCTACTATCTCTTTATCATATTTCTTTACCAACCATGTAACAACTCAAGTACTTACCCCTGAAACAGCTGCACAGCAGTTTCTGCTGTAACATTAGAAATTTCCTAGCATAACCTGCTATTAGTCCACATTCACTGACTCTTCCTAATTTTCAAATATGAGCCCTGGAAAGAATCACAAGGATATCTGAAATATTCTGAGTTTCAAAGCCACCAGTTATAGGAGCTGGTGCTAGAAAGGACAACGCTGCTGCAGGACGACATCAGCAGTGAGAAAAGAAAATATCAATAAAAAGGCTACATTGGACACAAATGGAGTAAGGGGAAGGTGGGAAAGGTGAGGAAGAAAAAGACTAAGAGAAGAAACACAGAAACAGGAAGATCTGCCAAAGAAATGAGTGACCTTTGATCTAAATATGCATTCACCATGAATCTAGAAAGTATGCGGAATCAGTAAGGATGAATGTGTGCGCTATGGAAAATATATTACAGAACCATGACATTAACAGACTCTCACTCAGCCTCTACAAAAAGCTTATTTGTTCTTATTGCCTGTAATTTGGCTTTCACCAGTGGCAAACAGATGCTGTAACACAGATCTGTCTTGTCCTGACTGTTCAAAACATCACTGTGGCACCTGACAAGCAGTCGCAGCATCATACAGAAAGAAATGAGTCCTGAGATGTGTTTCCTTTATAATAGACACAGAAAGAGGAATTTGCTTATGCTTCACCCCCTATTATTTTGCATATGAGAAGGAAACACAGGCTTATTTACTTACCCATACTTCATGAGCATCTCAGAAAATTCACTCACCCTTTTGCTCACCTGAGACATCCACTGGTATAGGAGACATTTTTTAAGTTAACCCAAAGCCAGCAACATGTGAAAGGAATGAGAAAGGAGATCTAGAGAGTACTTAACTGAGAGCACATAAGCCTACTAAAGTGATCTCTGTGTTTAGCAAACTGGCTCCTGTCATTCCAGCAGAACAATTATCTAAGAAAATCCAACTCATCTTCTCCAGCAGCAGCTCTCTGGCCTGCTATAAAATACCACACTCTTGTTAACAAGCCTTCTCCCAGCTGCAAGTCTACAAGTAAAGTAATCTCCCTGCCAGAGCAAGGTGTTGCTTTGTTCCTTGTGCTTGAGATATCTGCAAATCCCCACTTGAACTTCATCCTAATTAATGTAAGCCTCTATTGTTGTTACCCATGTATTTCAAGCCCCCAAATTCTATTATTTCTTGGATCAGAAATTTTGGGTAAACTTTCTGTAGTGAATTGGTTGCTGAGATTCTGTTCATTTCGAGTCAATTTGTCTACCTTTTAATTTTATTAAGCTTTTCTTTGTTCTTCACACTGAAACATATTGCCAATTGCCAATTCCAAAAACTTTGGGGTCTTTTTGTTTGTTTTGTTTGTTTGTTTATTTGTTTTCAGGTATTATACATCTGTATGAAATGAGAGATAAATAAAGGAAAAAAATGTGCTGTCATTTTTTAGATAAAGGATTTCTCAAATAAGGGTGACAGGATGTGCGAGGGAGCTCTGATGCAGTTGAGTGCGCTTTCTCTTCATATTTAGCAGAAACGAAACAGGCTCCAGATTTGTTTCATGTTCTTCCTGGATTCTGGACTGCAATCACAAGGAGCTCACTTTATTCTCCTTTACTCAGCAATTTGGACTAATATGGGAATAATGTGTCAATTCCAATGTAAGAAAGATATCAACAAATTTGAGTGAGTCCAGTGGAAGTTCACCAAGATGGCTGGGGCTGGAAAATGTGACAGAGAGGCTGGGGGAGCTGGGCATCTTTTTGTTGCCTAAAAGGAGATTACTAAATGAGGGAATGAGGGAGCCAAGATCTTTACGTCCTTATGGAGTTTCATAGCAATTGAGAGAAAAAACCCAACTAAACAAACAAAACAAAAAAAAAAAAAAAACCAAACCAAAAAACAAACAACAAACCCCCGTGGTAATGAATTAAATCAGGGGTAGTTCTGACTTCTGCCAAACAGCAGAAGAGGCTTCCCAGAGAAGGTATACTACCTGCATCCTTTGGAGGGTTTCAAGACCTGGATGGATAAAATTATGTAAACTTACAGTTGACTCTGCCTTGAGCAAGGCATTGGACTGGATTCATAGAATGGACAGGTTGGAAGGGACATTAAAACTCATCTTGTTCCATCCCCCAAGCCACAGTCAGGGACACCTTCCACTAGCCCGGGTTGCTCAAAGCCCACCCAAACTGACCTTGAATACTGCAAGGAATTTGGCATCCACAACTTCGCTGGGCAGCCTGTTCCAATGTCTCAGCGTTCTCATAGTATAGAACTTTTTCCATACATCTAATACAGATCTCTTTCACTTTTAAACCATTTTCCCTTGTCCTATCACTATATGCCCTTGTAAAAAGCCGTTCTCCAGCTTTCTTAAGTCCTCTACAGGTCCCTCATAACCTGAATTATATTACAAATCTAGGTGGGTTAAACAGAGGTGGAGAAAGGAGCAGAAAAAAAGTATGGCAACAATTGTATTAGAAATTATTTTGAAGCTCCTGCCAGAGCAGTCTATAATCCTGGCAAGCTTGATTACAGTAAGAGCAAGAGCTCATATTTCTCACACTGACCATTGAGTCATACATGCAAGTATACAGTCAATGCTAGTTCTCAATGCAAAACAATGAAAGACTGACCACACCTTCTCCAGAAATCAACTAAGGTTAAGATCTGAATCATTCCCAATTAAAAGCTTATATCTCTTCTTCAGTTATGTATGGATACGAAGGCAGGTTTAACTTTTACTTCTAGCAAACTCATTCAGCTGGGATAAACCTACATTAGCACAATGATGACGTATCTCTCTGTCCTTTTAGCCATCAAGACTTAATAGGACATACAAGTTTCTCATATCTTCTGTTTTTTCCATCACCTAACAGACAATTACTTTTCATTTTTTTATGGCTGTCGATCCAGTAATGTATTCCAGCATTGCATAAATATAAATGCACAAATACACCCTTTTAATATCAGCCTAAGATCACCTGGGAATGTGAGCTTTATTTAAAGAAAAAGACCACTCATAACAAAGACATTCACTTGGAAGTCTAGTATTTTCTTCAGTGGTATCACCTGACAATGGGGCAACTGCATAACCAAAGCATTATCTTAACCTATAAATGAAATACAGCTCCAACAGATGAACATCATCCACAAAATTGTAACTTGAATAATGTCCACAAAATTGTAACCCTGCCTCAGAGCAGACTGGTAGGGTACTAATGCTGCTGCTCTCTGTGCAGCAGCAGTCAGACTTCTGCAGAGAAAGAAAACTCAGATCTCAGAAGATTTCTGATCTCCAGGCAAGAAGTTGTCCAGTGTACTACAAACACAAAAAAAGGCAATACTTTGATATACACCTTAATTTGCTAAAATCAGACTGAAAAATAAATACTCTAAGAAGCCAATGAAGTAGAACAGGAGGATTTAGGAAACAAAGCCATAAGCCTGAAAAGAAAAATGTAGCCAGCAGCAGACTAGTCCTACATGTCTAAATACCTAGAATTTCAATTCAGAGCTTCTGCATCCCCCAGCTATTCCTGCATGTGCAGTTAGGTGATTTTCATGTAAAGAAGCACATTTCGTATAGAAGAATGGCAAATGGAGACTATGAACATCAAAGACTTCTATGAAGTGCATCAGTTAAGAGGAAAAAAGAAGCCTGAAGAAATGCTTTTAAGGTTTATAAAGGTTCTCAGGTAGAAAGAATAATGTTTATATGTAGTTAGATGTCATGGTCTAAGTACAGCTGGCAACTAAGAATTGGAAAAAAAAAAAGGTAAAACACGTGTTGAGATA